AGCTGTTAAGTGTCATTTCAACATGAATAGATTGATGCCTGAACAAAGTTTCCAAATTGTGCAAATTTATTTTGAAAATCTTGGTTCAGTTCGAAATACGTATCGCTCACTACTTCCATTTTACGGTTAACATAATCGTCCATCAGATCAATTAATTCGATTAACTATGGAACGTTTTTGCACCACGTTCACACTAAATGACAATATGCATCCACAGAGATGTTGTACAGTGCGTATGGAACACCACAACATTTTTCCGCTACATGTTATTCTTTTTTCATGCTCCCTGTAACAAAATGGTTTAGACTTTCAATATGCAAAATATAGAGAAACCCGCAGACCACCTGCAAATTTGCAAATCATGACTCTTTCTTCTATTTAAATTTGGAATACTTTGATTGAAATTCCTACAATAATAACACAATTAGACCCCGTGGGTTGGGCCACCTATCAGGCGCGTCCCCTGGTGGCGGATAGCGGAACGGCCAGGGGACTGGAGGCCCTGTCCGGGAAACCAATTTTGTCTTACGGACGGGGTCGCCGGATTCCTGGTCGGTGGTAACAATAAGAAGGGGGGGAATTAAAACTCCCCAAAAACCTTTGCAAAACATGCCTTCGTGGATCAGCCTACCCTAGCTGAGGTGTAAGGAATCGAGGCTGGACAGAAGTGCTCACCTCAATCTAAAGCGGTGGCTGGGGATGAACAGAAATGGCCACCCCAATCTACCACTTAGAATAAGGCTGGATATAGCAGATCACCTCGTGATGTAATACAAACGCCAAGGCGTAAGCGCATTTGCGGCGCCGAGGTCAAAAGGAGAAAGAGAGCCAATGAGGCGAGAGTGGCAGCAACTTTAAGTGCACCCTCCTCCCCCACTCCACCTCCAACAGCAAGGGCACTACTGACGGCGGGCGCCAAGAGCTCCGCCTTGAATAAAGGCAAGGAACCATCTGCCCCTGCAGGAAAGCTCCCTCACTTGTGCACCTCCACGAAGGGAACTTCATGAAAGTTGAAGAAGCCGCGCAATGACAGTTATGTCGCTGCACTTTCCAAAACCTTCGCGGAAGCCATCGTGAGACAACTCAAGGTTGCCAAAGGGAGTGTGTATTTGGCGAGTCTTGGCCTGCCAATATAAAGGAAATGCCTACTACTAACCTGTCCACCTTCCTGGAAAGGGCAGGATGGACGGTAACCTAGGAGGACAACTCCTCGGCCTAAGTGTGGGTCTACACTCACCCTCCCTACTCTACAGATACAGAACACAATCAGACATTCACCAGCACCACACCAGAGATGCAGATATAATAAGAGGACCAAGACATAGGCTCAGTGAATCCCAAAATAATTAACTGAAATTGAACGTCTATAACATTCTTCCAGTGCAAGTCAGAAAATTGGGAACTTTCGCTTTCAATGAAACGATAAAATTTATTATTATCTTGTTTTATTCCATTGAAACTTCTATACCTATATAAAAAACACCCTTTACGTCTTTATACAAAAAATTATATTACATTCTACAGGGAAGAATAAAAATGCATTATAATAAACATATGTTGTTTATGAACAATGTTATTATCCTCAAATTAATAGTGGAGAAACCTTACCAATATGGTTACTTTCAAAGAATGAATATTCCCAATAAAATTCTAAATATGACTTCCTCAAAGTTATTCAACCTACTAGGAGGATCTGGCAATTTGCCACTGGAAAATAAATGAATATCTTTTCTTGATACCCATTGACAGATATGTCACAGAAGTGTTAAATTCACCAAACCCTAAGGAATAGACCTGACTTTTTTCTTAATTTTTTTTGGAAAGAATGGAGTCAACGTTTGTAACCGTCGTTGACAGCAACTTGTTTGATAAAACTCATTTCTCTCTGAGAATAACTTTCTGACAGTGGAATGTTCGAAAGTCTGTCTATTTATTGCTGCTGATTTATGCTGATAGGGATGTGTCGAGGAATTTTGGTTTGCTGAATGTGAAAACCAGTTCTACATTTGCAAAACCTTTCAAGGCAGAGGGACATGAGAGAAAGGGAGAGAAAGGTTTGTATTCCAATCTTTTATGATGTTTGGAAATCAAAGGATTTGAGAATTCCTTTTGAATAACCAAAGAGAATTGAATACTTTCTCTTCATTATATCTTTTTTCCAATGTGAAAATTAGTGGCTATAGTGGCTTTTTCTAGACGTTCCTAGACCAAGTGAACAAAATGAATTTTCATTGAGAGCAAAAGTACTCGGATGTACTTGGGGGCGAATTATTTATAGAATTGCTAAAGGTGGGGACCTATTACATCTGATGACAAAATGAGAGGAAAGATTGATCTAATTACAATCGGAAGATAGTGTACATTTGATGAGAGTTTGAAGGGATTGAGCATTTATCTGAATATACTTTTGTAGAATCTTAGGTATATTTCGAATTTCTTTTGAAATATTGATTCCCTTAGTCTCTTTAACTTCAATACAGGTTAATCTACACTGTTTGAATTAATATTCATACTGTTCTTATATCTTTCTACTTCTCATCTAGCATTCACTTTGTGATGCAATCCTGTCACCATAGTTCAGGAGAACCAGCCCCTTTGGTTTTACTATTCGATTAATTGATTATTCCAGTACTTTTGCTTTAAGGAGCCAAGATTTTTTTATTTACTCACTAAACGCATTATTATTTGATAGTCTTGTTTGATTTCTATTACCATTCGAGCCGAGCTGCTTGAAAATTGTGATGTCAACTATATGTCAATTTTATGACGTTAGATAGAGATCTTAATATGATTTTCGCTCGATAATCAAGTTATTTCTATTAATTACTAATTGTGAACTATTTACGCTCAAAACATTTCAGAAATCAACTTGGTTTAAAATTTTTTCAGTATTCCTTGATGATATGAAAATAGGTTTTCACATATTTGTAGCTTGACTATTCAATAAAACAATAAAAATATTAAAACTGACCTTCTACATGTCAGACATTTCTTTTGATATTTATTTCAGAGTGATCGTCAGGATTCCACTGGAGATGAAAAAACTGAAAAAGGCAATGAACACATATTGTTAATGAATATAATAACCGACTTCATGAGATTCACGAATGTATTATTGTAGAGATGTTGGTATACATGATAGAAAGCTTCTAATTCTCGCATGCAGGTTTTTAAACGTTAAAATCGTTATTTGTATTTCGAGATCATGTGATCATTTAAAAAGTTTAAAAGGTTATCGTTTGGATAACAAGCGGACCGACGTCTCTATATTGACTTCCAACGCTAATTGACCATACTTAAAGTTGTTGGCACTCTCAAAGGCCTAAAAAACCAATATGATTTGCTGAAGAGTCATACAAATAAATTTGGAGTCATGTTACGGGGACGAATAGAAATCGGGGAATGCGGGGATGGTTATCGCCGTCGTGTTATCAATGTTCAGTTCAGGAACTGATTTGAGTGTTGAGTGTTGAAATTCGATATTGGTACAGTTATAATTACTTGAAATTTTTTTATCTGTTTAAAATGAGGCTTCCTTGCACAATTACTGTGCAAGGAAGCACGAGTGTGATAATAACGAGTGTGATAACAACGCAGACTTTTTCCAGTGTAGTGATTCCAATATCGATGATGAACAATGCGAAAAAGAGATACCAGTGAATAAGATTGCAATTGAATATTAAAACATAGAGAGTATGTTTGAGGGTATATAAGAATTTACATCTCCAGTTTGGTTTCGAGGGAAACAAACTATTACAATCAGATTTGACCGAAATTCCTTTCTCAACTGTACGTCAAATAGTCAAAAACAAACCTTATGAACGCAAGAGGCGATGTGATACAGGATGGACTGATGGTTCGATAATGTATACGCCTAACCTAACCTCCCCCTAAAGGGGAGCTGTTGGAAGGTAGGTTGCATTATATCGTTTACTTGAACTATACGTCTAGCATGCACTGTATGAGCAAAAACGGAAATCTGGGAAGGTTTGATTTTTTATTTATTGATTTTCATTTTGATCAAATAAAACTGAAGTGACACTTTTAAAACGTATATTGCAATATCATAACATCGTCTGGTAAGATTATTCACAATAAAATTATCAATTTATCCGCATAATGCACCTTTTGCAGATATCCTACATGCCTATAATCGATAATGTCATTGTTATTTCTTCTAATTCTACATAACATTTCACCTACTCTAGTAGATATACTGTTACAAAATTAAATCTATTCTTACAGCATCAAAATACTCTATATATTCTATTTTTGTTTATTGCCAACCATTAAAATGTCATTTTCACTTTGTATAAAAACAAATTTCACTTGTACCGCCACTTTACGTCATTATTGTTAACAGTTTTGATTTTCGGGATATGTTTTTCTATATTCTAAGAAATATTGTTTGTACACAGAGTGACTTTTGAATCATGGATCGGGACGATATAGTCAGTAAGGAAGAATATAAGAAACTAAATTAACTTCTATCAATGCTCTTTTCTACAGGACGAGCGAAAGTACTACCGAAAAATGTCATTATTCCTAAGAAAATAAATATTCAGAAACCTTCATCTCTCCCAACGTAACTACAGAGTACTAACCTTCCAGGGAACGCCTGTTATAAAGTAACTAATTTCCTGGCTAATACCACGATGGGCATTGCATTACTTTTTTTTGCGCATGGGTTTTACTTAATTCACTTTTATTATACAGTGTGTCCAAGATAAGGATCCTAAGCATGGGAATCTCAGTACCTGTTGGAGATACAGCTTAGGTTAAATTAGGAAAAAGTTGTGTTCTTTAAAGCTTATTTACATGCCGTTTAGAAACTTGAAGAATTTTCATGGCCTGCTGAGATATTTGGGAAAAACGAGAATTTGACAATATCAATTTTATTTTTTTCTGACTTTATTTGAAAAGATATCAAAAAACGAATNTACTTTGCAATTTCCAGAAACGTCTAATATTTTTTCAAAAACATGAATTTAGTAGTTTAACTAGGGCAACACTACAACACCTCTGGTAGTGAAAACTTCAAGTGTCTCACCTGGCCTAGAAGAGAAGTACTCATTGACGGTTTTTAAGGAAGGCACATTGCCTTCTGGAAATAATTGCAGATACACCCAGAACTTCAACATAACATAAACGGAATAATCTGTTTGGATAACAACCAGATCGGGATGGGCCACTAATTTGCTTAGGAGAGATATCGGAATGGTTCTGAGTTCGGACAGAGATTTGTTGTGGTAGTAGGTCATCAAATTCATCAGGAACCATTTGAAACATACATCCCGGACTTTCTTGTTGCTGTACTGACTGGCTGCGTTGTAATAATCCAGCGCCGTCTGAGAATAGAATCATTAGCAATCTTAAAAATACCTTTTTTTGTTAACTAAGTGGGTGATACCTTGGGATTTATTGTTTCCTGCATGACTTCTGCGCACTTGTCGATCAAGCCGTCCAACTGGAACATAGTAGCTGTGGCCAAAATAGGAATAATTTCCTTGGGGTTCAGGCTTATTTCAAAGTTATACAATGATCCTAGCACCACTTTCAAAGCTGAAAACAACAGTTGCTGCTTAAAAAAGAACAGAAATAATTGTATTTATTTTACGGGATCTCATCAGTGCAGGAAAGATCCGACTCAAACACCAAAGTATCTGGGGCTCATTGACTTCAACGTGGTTCGACTGCATGTATGCAGGTCCCAAACACACTGCTGTTTAGGTGGGATCTTTCCTACACTGATGAGAGTTAATTCCTCGAAACCAGTCTGTGGATGATCTACCCGATTGGTTTCAATGTGGTCCTGTTACGGGATGAATGAGAATCATCTGTTAGACTATACTCTGTGATGTATCTTGCGTAAATCTCTGTCGAACATGGTACAATATTCAGCGTGGTATTAGCCGGGGAAGTAGTTATTTTCCGGCAGGTATTCACCATGACCAACTGTGTAGGTAGTCGGTAGCGACGAATGCTTCGAGATTATGTTTCGAAGTATATTTTCTTGAGGTATTCTCCTCATTTTTTCTTCAATACTAGTTCGTTCGTCAAAATGGGGCATCGAGGAAATGTAACTTTGCGAAAGGTAGCTTACAATTTTCATTAAATAAATATATTACTTACTCTTAGCGGCTCTTATCGCTTGGTCAAATGGTTTAGTTTCGTTCACGAGTATGAAGAATGGAAAAAATATGGTAATAGAAAATTCAAAATAGAGAAGAAGATGTTTTTCCTCGTTGATTGGAGAGGAATATTTGATGTCGAATAATTATGAAGGGTGTTTTTTATGAAGGTGTAGAACTTTACGTTGGCAACCCTTTTTTAACTGGCGGCCATTTTGTCAGCTGTCAAGTGTCATTTCAACATGAATAGACTGATGCCTGAACAACGTTTCCAAATTGTGCAAATTAATTTTGAAAATCTTGGTTCAGTTCGAAATACGTATCGCTCACTACGTCCATTTTACGGTCAACATAATCGTCTAACAGAGCAATTAATTTGATTAACTATGGAACGTTTTTGCACCAAGTTTACTCTAATTGACAATAAGCATCCACAGAGATGTTGTACAGTGCGTATGGAACACCAGAACATTTTTTCGCTACATCTTCTTCTGTTTTCATACTGCCTGTAACAAGATGGTTTAGACTTTCACGGCTGAGGTTTTCAGTGTCATTTCTTCTCGAGTTTGAAAGCCGTGGGTTTTTGGAATTTCTTCCTGACGTTTCGCTGGAGCGAGTGGCTAGCTTCTTCAGAGGTTTAACAATCATGCCTTGCTGTCCGATGACTACCTTTTCGGCTTCGTAAAGCGTATTTATGCCTTGTCAGGTAATCAGTTGTATTTGTACCTGTATTTGTACCTGCATGTGTACCTGTACTCGTTCCTGCACTTGAACTTGGATCATTAACAATTTTGCTGCCTGTTGTCCTGTTTCTTATTCCCGAATTCTTTAAAATAGGGTTCCATATTTGATTGAGGTTCACCGCTTCTTCTTTTCTGTTGAAATTCTCCGTGTTTTTGTGGATCTCTATTGCCTCACGTACCAGTCGGCTATGGTATCCCTGGTTGGGGGCAATTAGTTCTGTGTTTTCAAACAAAATTATGTGGCCTCCTTCAATAAGTGCGTGTTCTGCCACAGCTGACTTGTTCGTTTGGCCTAGTCTGCAGTTCCTTTTGAGCTCTTTAAGTCTTGTTCCCATGGATCATTTGGTGGTTCCGATATATACCTTTCTACACGTGCACGGTATGCGATAGACCCTTGCTGCTGATAATGGGTCTCTTTTGTCTTTAGTCGACTTGAGGCTTTGTTGTATCTTCCTCGTGGGTTTGAAATCTGTTTCGATGTCGTGTTTGCCCAATAGTTTTCCAATTCTGTCCGTGACCCTAGGGATAAACGGTAGATATGCGCGTGCAACCATTTCGGCAATAAGTGCGTGTTCTGCCACTGCTGACTTGTTCGTTTGGCCTAGTCAAGGCCATTTCAAGGTATTTCAGTTCCTACTCCAGATGTTCTGGTTCACATATTCTCCGAGCCCGTTCCGTTAGAATGGAGATGACTCCTCTCTTTTGGCTAGGATGATGGTTCGATTGTGCATGCAAGTATCTATCTGTATGTGTGGGTTTTCGATACACTTTGTGGGTTAGTCTGGTACCACATCGTTCTACTAATACATCTAGGAAAGCTATCCGTTGGTCTTGCTCAATCTCCATGGTGAATTCTATGCTAGGGTGTTGGGCGTTCAAGTGGTTTAGGAAATGGTTCAGGGCGTCTTTTCCATGTTTCCAGATGACGAAGGTGTCTTCCACGTAACGTAGCCACAAGGTCGGCTTCAATTCAAAAGTGTCTATCGCCTTCCCTTCAAACCATTCCATGAAATAATTTGCTATCACTGGTCTAAGTGGACTCCCCATCGCAACGTCATCCACCAACGGCAAGGGTACTTCCGACGGCGGGCGCCAAGAGCTTCGCTTTGAATAAAGGCAAGAAACCAGCTGCCCCTGCAGGAAAGCTCCCTCACTTGTGCACCTCCACGAAGGGAACTCCAAAAAGGTTAAAAAAAGCCGCGCAACGACAGTAATGTCGCTGCATCTTCCACAACCTTCGCGGAGGCTATCGTGAGACACCTCAAGGTTGCCAAAGGAAGTGTGTGTCCGGCGAGTCTTGGCCTTCACCTGCCAATATAAAGGAAATGCCTCCTAGTGACCTGTCCACCTTCCTGGAAAGGACAGGATGGACGACAGGAGGACAACTCCTCGGGAAGATGTAAAATGGGTCACATGTGGCCTAAGTGTGGGTCTACACTCACCCTCCCTACTCTACAGATACAGAACACAGACATTCACCAGCACAACACCAGAAGTACAGATATAATAAGAGGACCAAGGCGTAGGCTCAGTAAATCCCAAAATAATTAACTGAAATTGAACGTCTATAACATTCTTCCAGTGGAAGTCAGAAAATTGGGAACTTTCGCTTTCAATGAAACGATAAAATTATTTTTGCTCAAAAACCCCTTTTACTTTCTTGAGGAATATGTGAAATGTGAAAAGCAGGGTGTTACTATGCTCAGGGATATATAAATTTTTAATAATTTTTCAATTATTCAAAAAATTGATTATATGGTTGTTGACTCATGCTCAAGTTTGTGTTTGTGATGTCCATCATGTCTGGAATAACATATTAATGTATTAATCTATTCTATTTATGTTATTGATTCATTCACACATATTTATGAAAACATTTTCACTACTTTTGAACTACCATTTCACCATTTTTTAACTGTAACTTGTCATAAATGTATTTAGTATCCATAAAATGATTAATAAAGTATCTATCTATAAGTATCTATCTATTATTGCTGCTGTAGAGCGTAGCGTAGAGGAAGACCCGAATCAGTCTATCCGCCATCGAACACAAGATTTTGCGGAAAGAACTTGGTTTGCGTGCTCACAAAATCCAACTCGTGCAAGAACTGAACCAACACGATTTACTAGCAAGGCCCAAAACAAGATTGCCGTTGATCCCGATTTTCATAAGCGAATTTTGTTCAGCGATGAAGCTCACTTTTGTCTCAATGGATACGTCAATAAACAAAACTGCCGTATTTGGAGTTATGATAATCTTCAAATGTATGCTGAGACACCATTACATCCAGAACTGTTTGGTGTGCTTTATGGGTTGGTGGAATCATTGGTCCGTACTACTTCAAAAACGATGCTGGTCAGAACGTTACAATCAATGCTGACCGCTATAGAGCCACGATCACTGACTTTTTCATTTGAATAACCATTATGTGCAGGAGCTGTGGTTTCAACAAGACAGCGCAACATGTCATACAGCTTACGCCACAATTGGTTTATCGAAGTAAACGTTTGGTAACCGCATAGTTCCAGGTTTCGGACCCGTGAATTGGCCTCCAAGATGGTGCGATTTAACACCGCTAGACTATTTTCTGTGGGAATATGTGAAGTCGCTAGTCTACGCCGATAAGACCAAAATGATTGACCACTTGGAGGACAACATTCGCCGCGTTATTGCTAATATACGGCCACAAATGTTGGAAAAAGTCATTGAAAATTGGACCTCCAGATTAGACTACGTCCGAGCCAGCCGTGGCGGTCATATGCCAGAAGTCATATTTGAATTATAATGTCAGAAGATTATCTTTCGAATGAAGTAAATTTCATGTCAATTTAAAAATTCATCTTTGTTTTATTTCATTTAAAAGTTCTATACCTCTATAAAAACATCCTTTACATCATTATACGGGAAATGATTTCGCATTCTACAAGGAAAAATACAAATGCATTTTAATGAACATATGTTGTTTATACAATGTTATTATCTTCAAATTGAATAGTGTAGAAACCTCATCAATATGTTTAATTTTGAGGAATGAATATCACCAATGAAATTCGAAATATGTTATTCAACCTACTAGGTAAATCAAAGGATGCAATCTTGCCAGGATCACCTTGGGCGACCCAGGGAAGCTGGCGCCGAAGAAATATCTGGCGATGACCAGGAAAAATCTACGCTTAACAGTAAGATTTCTGACTGGCCACTGTCAACTAATATTGGGCTAGTGGGCACACCTCTATGCAGGATGTGTGAACAGGAAGATGAGACTGTCAGGCATGTCCTGTGCGAGTGCCCGGAGTTATCGTCAATAAGAGAGTGTGTGTTTGGCGAGTCTTGGCCTACACCTGCCGATATAAAGGAGATGTTTCCAAGTGACCTATCCACCTTCCTGGAAAGGACAGGATGGACGATGACCTAGGAGGACAACTCCTCGGGAGGATGTACAATGGATCACATGTGGCCCAAGTGCTATGGGGTTACGTTCACCCTCTCTACTCTACAGATATAGAACCTCAGAACCTACTAGGTAGGATTTGACAATTTCCCACCGGAATATCTTTCCTTGATACCCATTGACAGATATGTCACAGAAGTGTTCAATTCACCAAACCTTAAGATAGTGTAATAAACCTAGCTTTTCTTCTTAGTTCTTTTGAAAAGAATGGAGTCAATAGTACCTACCTTGTAACCGTCGTTGACAGCAACTTGTTTGATAAAACTAATTTCTCTCATAAGAATAACTTTCTAATAGTGGAATGTTCGAAAGTCTGTGGATAATATTATTTATTGCTGCTGATTTATGCTGATAGGGATATGTCGAGGAATTATGTATGACAATATCCGTATAAGATGGTTTGTGAAGAATTGTAAAATCATGTTTATTATCAATTATCAAACAATGAAGACAAAACCTCAGTGTCGGATAGATGAGACGCATATAAGTTAACTTGTGGTTCTTAGCCAAAACTTTATGTTGGCGAAATGAATATAATATTTTCACAATGAATTAAAGTGCATAGGATTGGTTTGCTGAATGTGAAAACCAGTTCTACATTTGCAAAACCTCTTAAGGCAGAGAGACATGAGTTCAACCCCGACTATGACGTGTTATATTTGGGAGAGAAAGGTTTGTATTCCAATCTTTTATGATGCTTGGAAATCAAAGGATTTGAGAATTCCTTTTGAATAACCAAAGAGAATTGAATACTTCCTCTTCATTATATCTTTTTTCCAATGTGGATATTAGTGGCTATAGTGGCTTTTTCTAGACATTCCTAGACCAAGTGGACAAAATGAATTTTCATTGAAAGCAAAAATACTCAGATGTACTTGGTGACGCTTGGTCTTGCTAAAGGTGGGGACTTATTACATCTGATGACAAAATGAGAGGAAAGATTGATCTAATTACAATCGGAATATATTGTACATTTGATGAGAGTTAGAAGGGATTGAGCAGTTACCTGAATATACTCTAGTAGAATCTCAGGTATATTTCGAATTTCTTTTGAAATATTGATTCCCTTAGTGTCTTTAACTTCAATACAGGTTAATCTACACTGTTTGAATTAATATTCATACTGCTCTTATATCTTTCTCCTTCTCATCTAGCATTCACTTTGTGATGCAATCTTGTCACCATAGTTCAGGAGAACCAGCCCCTTTGGTTTTACTGTTCGATTAATTGATTATTCCAGTACTTTTGCTTTAAGGAGCCAAGATTTTTTTATTTACTTACTAAACGCATTAATATTTGATAGTCTTGTTTAATTTCTATTACCATTCGAGCCGAGCTGCTTGAAAATTGTGATGTCAACCATATGTCAATTTTATGACGTTAGATAGAGATCTTAATATGATTTTCGCTCGATAATCAAGTTATTTCTATTAATTACTAATTGTGAACTATTTACGCTCAAAACATTTCAGAAATCAACTTGGTTTAAAATTTTTTCAGTATTCCTTGATGATATGAAAATAGGTTTTCACATATTTGTAGCTTGACTATTCAATAAAACAATAAAAATATTAAAACTGACCTTTTACATGTCAGACATTTCTTTTGATATTTATTTCAGAGTGATCGTCAGGATTCCACTGGAGATGAAAAAACTGAAAAAGGCAATGAACACATATTGTTAATGAATATAATAACCGACTTCATGAGATTCACGAATGTATTATTGTAGAGATGTTGGTATACATGATAGAAAGCTTCTAATTCTCGCATGCAGGTTTTTAAACGTTAAAATCGTTATTTGTATTTCGAGATCATGTGATCATTTAAAAAGTTTAAAAGGTTATCGTTTGGATAACAAGCGGACCGACGTCTCTATATTGACTTCCAACGCTAATTGACCATAATAAGATAATTTGAGAGTCGTTAAAATCTAGGTTGAAATACCTAACCTAAATGCGTTTACAGTTGATGCTCAATAATGTTACGTTCGTTATTTTCATTTATTATGTCAGCTTTGGCTACGAGTTTTTCCTTCAGTTCCATCTGTTTTTCGACTATTTCGTTCTTCTTGTTGTCGATTTTCTCCTCGCTTTTTGTTCTGTCCCGTTTTTTGTCAGACCACCAGTGTTTTTCTTTATCCGGACTTTTGTCTGTCTTGACCACATTCTCATCATCGTCTTCCTGGGCTAGTTTTTCGTACTTGTGCCCTTTTTGTCTCAAGATTGGAAATTCCAATTGGGTGATTATTTTCTGGGCACACCTGAAAATAGAAACATTTCATTATGGGTGAATTATACAGGGTGGCCAATAAGAAAGAAAAATCGTCGTTCATCGTTATCATTACATTCTGAAAATTAAATTATTGTTACAACATGAGATAAATTGATTTTTTCGCAATTCTTCAGAAAAAATAATCTAAAAAATAACTTCAATCCTCGACTGAAACTAGCCAGGATTCATTGTGGCACATACCACATACCACAATCAAACTCCAGCTTTTGAATGAAGCCAAATTAATAATAATAATAAAACTTTATTTTCTTCGATGCACCTCTAGAAGAGTTTGCATTCCAAATTGTCCGTTCCACGGTTGTACTTGCATCGACAACAGGGGGGCCATGGATCTTGATTTTGGAGTGTCTACAAGACAAAATCGTACTGAATGTAGCCTGTAAAATCATGAGTCTGGATCCCCTTCTCTTATTGGTCCGCAACCACGAGCAGTAATTGGAACATTTCTTTTTGGGGTCAGCTGTACGACAGCTGCCCGAGCAGCTGTTGAACTCGATTTAGTTTTTGACACTGAACAAGGTGATCACAGCTCTGTCACCGAGTTGAAACCCTTTTCAGCAAAAGGACCACATTAAACTCACAAGATGGACCGATTCTTGAAGTCTTTTTCAAAAACATTGAACACCTCGGCTTACTAAAGCGCCTGATATTCGCTTTCTGCAGGTCGAGTACGCTGAGGTCGGGAACTTAGGGGTTCACCAAGGCCTACCAGGATGGTGTCTTCAACACCTCAGTCTACCGAATTCGCCTGATAGGATTCCTGACACAATGTGTAGGGCTAGCCGCAAGCGTTTGAGACCCTAATGCACTTGCTGTCAGCATTAGCTGACGGTATTGGCGAGACGCTGGTGTTGCCCTACAGTCCGGGGGATAGTGAATCAATTATATGGAAGGGAAGTGTTGAATTTATTGAAACTATTCATTTCCTGCCCTCAGACATATACAAGCTTATGACCCCGATGTACTTCTTCTCGATCATCAGAGAGACGATATCTGTTGTGGAGTTTTTAGCTACCGGTGAGACAAATATCGTCCGAAAAGAGGTGGAAAAACGGATAAAACATGGAAATTTACTCTCGAACTCCGTAGACTTCATTCAGATCACTCTGTTGAGATTGTTTTGCTGATTAGTGGAGTCCCTGTTTGAATGATGCCCACCCTACTGTCGAATCTCAAGATTATGCCGGCTTGCTGCAGAAAACTTAGCCGGATAAATGTAGAGAAGGCTGTATAATTGCCAATCTATCAGAGAAGTAGCTAATGTCTAATGTATCAACTACTGGTGTTTTTCAGATTTCAAAAGCCTACAAATTCCATCCTTTCAAATTGAACGAAGATGCTCCTGATCGTCGACTTCAGTTTTGTGAGGTGTTCAGCGAGACATTGACCATTAACCCAAACCTGTTATACGATACATGTTTTTCAGACGAAACTTCTTTCATGTTGAATAGTGAAGTGGATAGACATAATTGTCGTTACTGGAGCGATGTGAATCCTCATTTGGTGAACATTTTCAAACCCCACAAAAATTGAATATCAGGGCCGGCATTCTTGGTAATCATATTTTTGGACCATTCTCCATTGAAGGTAATAGTATAGGAGCTAGCAACGTTTTCGAAAAAGAATTTCAGAACAGTTGGTTTTTTGATATGCTGTCTTTCTTGCTCTTTCGATTAGAGTCCGGGCTACCTGGCTGGCGGTAGTGGTTGCGTTTATTAATGCACCTCTTACCTGCACAAGTACAAATTCCTAACTTCAAGAGAATTTTTTAAAGCGTAATTTCTAATTATTTGCCTTTAGATAGATCCACCAGACGTCAATTTTTTATTGCCAGACATTTTTAGTGTTGCTAATTTTGTGCCATACGCGATTTTTTATTTTTTTAAATAAAAAATTCAAAGTATTTTTGAATGTCTGCAATTTTTATATTATGTTCTTTGAACATAAAATAATCTAATATGAATTTGCCAGATGTTAATTCGATTGTTGAGTATTGAATATAAATAAAAAAGTAATGAAAAGTATTGCGGTATAATGCTTGTGGTTAGAGAAAAGACAGTTTAAAGTGCAAGACAGATAGAAAGCGATGGCAGCGCATCGGCAAATGGACAACATGGCGTCAGTCTAAAGTCACATGTTTGTTTGGTGTTTTCGTTATTTGTGATGTTTCATTTATTAATTTTGTTACAATGGCCAGTGATAAAATGAAATGTGTTTTCTGTAAAGGTGGTAAGATGCGCATTGATAAACGCAACCACTACCGCCAGCCAGGTAGCCCGGACTCTAACCGAAAGAGCAAGAAAGCCAGCATATCAAAAAATCAAACCTTGCTACCTCCCGTACTATAATCTCAATGGAGATACATACTTAAATCTATTACAATACTGTGTGTATCCTATGACTACACAAATTTTAGAAAATGATGACATTTGGTAGTCAATGGAATAACATTCCAGCAGGATGGTGCACCCTCATATTTTGACGTTCGGGTGAGACAGTTTTTGGACAAAAGTTTTCCAATGCGTTGGATCAGCTGAAGGGGCCAGCTAGATCACCTGATCTCACACCGATGGACTTCTTTCTGTGGAGACACCTGACGTCGTACTCTACTAATCCTACAAATCTAGAAGACCTGCGACAGAGAATTGTTCGGGAATGCCGTTTGCTGACTCCGGACTTCTTGAATAATGTATGGAACGCTTTCGAGAGTACACTGTATCATTGTATGGAACTAGGTGGAGGACATTTTGAAAAATTTATCCATTGATTTCGTTTCCACTGATATTATTTGTTGTTGATTTTCTCATCGAAATGAACGGCAGCGAATTTTCTGTTTTTTCTTAAATAAAACGTTCAACATTTAATTTCTCAATAACAAATGAACTACTTTCGATAAAAATTACAGAGGAAATAGAGGAACAAAAGACCTTTCAAACGATGTATCACTCGACCTCCATGCCATTGAAAATATAGGGGGGGTAGTTGACCGCAGAGCGGTGAAGATACCATATCAGAATTAGTCCCCATAGAAATATAAATAGACGTGTTCTTTGATATTTTCGATTACATGTTTGTTTCTGACTCACAGGGGCGTCAAGCTTTCGTTGGAACGATCCGTATGTACACACACAAAAAAGTCAATGAAATATTTTATAAATCAATAACCTTTTCTCACATTATCATATTGATATATATAAAATTGAGTAATAACCTAATCTTGTCTCACGTTAAACAAGGTTTCTTTGTATCGAAGTAGACTATGACAGTTTTTCTAGTTTAAAATCTGTTTTCTGTTTAAAATCTGTTTTTCCGTTAACCAGCTGTCGCACCCCTACGAAAACCCTACGAAAACCCTCAGAAGTCTGTAACGGATCCATAGTTCATGTCGGTTAATTCAACTAAAAGCGACTTTACGTCACCGCGCCATCTCTTAGCGAACTTCTGCCACGCACAACGGTAGTAAGATACATAGGGCACTGTTAAAGATCTTTTCCCATCAGCTTATAAGTTCATGGTTAGGTAGGAGGGAAATGGAGAGTATCGAATGGTAGAAGATTGCTTTGGGTTTTCAAAGAACTGTGCATTCCACGGGATCTTGCACCCGCATATTTTATTTTAGGTATGTAATTGTGATTGAAAGTGTTACTTGCTTAGTGAATAATGTCTTAGGCCATGTGGCCGTGAGAGGTATCAGATCTCATTGTAACAAAATGTCCGTACTGAGACGCATATTTTATTTCAGATACTCAAAATCAGAAACCATATTACTGTCATCCAGCATTACTTGTGAAATACAAATCGTAGCTAACTGGTGTTTCCAATTCCTTTTCTCGTCACCCTACCGACCGGCGTACCCAAACCCTGCATCCTAAGAGGCTCGTGTGCAAGTCGAAACTTGTGCGAGCTAAAGATTAACGAGGTCTTACCTTTTAACGTGTGATTCCTAACACTGTTTACAGACATCTGCTACTTTTGGCACGAACTATGAATATTATTATCCAACATTCTTTCAACATAGTACAGGCTACCTATGGTCTTCAATATGGTGATTCCTAATTAAAGAGGTGTTTATTAGGTCGGCAGACCTTCAACGTATACTTCTCAAGGGAGCTGGGCTCCAACCTGAATGAATTGTAGACGCTGGGTCAAAACATGCATTTTTGAACACTTATGATAAAAAGCAATAAATGCCATTCTGTAGATATACATTTCCAGTGTATGTTCTTGGCAAACTACATTTTCATTTATTTTGGAATGTAAATTGAAATGAACAAACTTCAAAATGTTTATTCTGGCCACTATTTACAGAAAACATTCAGTTCGACTTATTTCTTTGACAATTATCAACAGAAAAGTTCATTTGTGTTATTTTGTTAATTTTTTACAAACCTTATGCGTGTTGAAGCTGGTGGAGCGGTATGAAGAGGACTTTGTCCAGGTAACTCTTTTATGGGAGGTAATCTGTTGACGTGATTTTTGTCCGGGCGACAATAATCTTGAATTTTCATTTTCATAGCATGCTGTTGAGATCTTTTTATAGCCCCTGTAGCTGGTTGTCGGGGATAGGCTCCTGAACAGTGGCCACCACAGCAAGGTGGACCTGCAAACATTGTTACAATTCATTTAATGAAAAAAATTTTGGTTCATTTGGATATTTATTTATCTGGAATATTTTTTGACATTTTGAGTAGAAACATCAAGAGAAAGCTATATCAATTGAAACATCATTATAATTCAATTCATTAGTCCGGACTTCCATTGTCTAATATGATATAAAAAGATTTGAAAGCCCTGAAAGAATCTGTAAAAAATTAAAAAAATTAAAAGATTAACTGAAAAATAACAATTATATTAATCAAAAAAATTGAAATTACAATGAGATAAAATACAAAAAACAACCAAAAAAAAAACAAAAAACTTGAACTATTAACACGAGATGAAAAGATAGAGCAAACTTACCGATACAAGTAATCATGGAATTACTAGGATGCTGTGTACGAAACTGCTACTTCCAATTGAAGGACAAATTCTTTACGCAAGATGAGGGACTGCCAATNTTCAGGGATTTCAAATCATTTTATATCATATTGGACAATTAGAGTAATGAATTGCACCACGAAACATTGTCAACCACCTTCAAACGTCATTATCATGTTTTTGATGTTTCGAGGCACATAATTTCAGTCATTTTAATCACAGCAGATATTAACAATTTGTTGTTGATGATGTTGACATACCTTTAACAATATCGGAAGAACATGATGTGGAAGAAATCGAAGATTCTCCGCTACTAACACTGTAGAGACTGTCCGACTGGGGAACTGAAGATGTTGCAGAGTCCATGGAGTATCCACTTGCCGAATTCGGTATATCACCTGACTATAAAGCGAAAGGAAATTATTGTAACATTGATTGAGAGTTTACCTTTTAACATTTCATGTAAAAATATGTTACAGCATTGATTTACTTCATTTTCAATATCCTCATTTCATATATAAAATCAATAACTCTTAAAAAATATAAAAGTCAAAAATACACCATACAGGATGTTTCAAATTCGATCCTCACCATTGGGATCTCGGAAACTGTGAGAGATACGAATATATTAAATTGGGGCAAAGTTGCGCATTTACCTGACTAACAATATGCCGTTGAAAGAGTTCTGAAATTACCAGTATATCCGGAGAAATCCGTAAAAAACAGAAATTTCGGAAAATGGTTTTTATCTTTTTCTGGCTTTATTTTTCGAAGGATTCGAAAATGAATTGCACTTCCACATTGCTCCTTTTTCCCTGCTACATAATGGTGTTTTCAGATTTGCTATCCGACGTTTC